TATGGATAGAGATAGATGGAGAGAGACAGACAGAAACAGAGACAGTCCTTGAAGATGTTCAGTTGGCCTATGAACAACATATGTTTGAACTGCATGGATTCATTTATATGGGGATTTTTTTCAACAGTAAATACTACTGTACCACACAATTCTTGGGTGTAGAAATGCAGACACAGAGGAAACACGTATATGTATAAGTTATACAGATACTCTAAGTTATACATGGATTTTCAGATTTTTTGACTGCTCAGATGGTCAGCGCCCCTAACCTTATGTTTTGCAAGGGTCAACTGTACATATAGAGTGTGTGTGTGGCGAGAAAAGACAAATGATAATGGAAACAGGATAAAATTTTAACAATAGGTGAATCTGGGTAAAGGGTATACAAGTGTTCCTAGTGCTATTTTTATTTGCACAACATTTTAAAATTTGAAATTATTTCCAAATAATAAAACAATTATGATCAGGTGTCACAGACAGAGGATCAGGATACAGGACATGATGGTTTGGTATGCTTTCATATTGCAAAGTGATTACCATCACTAGTGTTAGCTAACGCCTCCATCATGTCACATAATTACCATTTCGTTTTTGTGCTGAGAACATTTAAGGTCTATTTTCTCAACAATTTTCAATATATAATGCACTATGATTAGCCATAGTCAGCAGGCAGTATATTAGATCCCCAGAACTGACTCATACCTGGAAATTCGTACCCTTTGACCAACATCTCCCCATTTGGCAGCAGCCAAATCTTGAAGTGACTTGAGTGCCACAGTGGGAATCTGGGCTTTATCTGGAGGACAACGAGATACACATAACAGAAATACTTTTTAAAAAATACCTCACACCACAATGTTGATTCATGTTTGGATTTCTAATTTGTAGGTTTTGGTAGTTTACAGATTTGGAATCATTGTCACATACACTGTATAACAGGGCTGGTAGGGAAGGTAAAAATGTATATTCTTGAGACTTTCCTGGTAGTCTACTGGTTAAGTCTCCATGCTTCCACTGCAGGGGGGCACAGGTTCAATCCCTAGTCAGGGAACTAGGATCCCACATGCCATGCAGTGCAGCCAAAAAAACTTTCTTTTTTTTAAAAAAAGATATAATCTCAACAGAGGGCAGGGAAGGGGCTTGGCTTCAGAGGATGCTCAAGGGTGGAGAGAAAAAGGCAGCATGCTGTAGGCTGAGCAGAGGGAGGCATAGGGCTAATTTTCTGAGCACCTGTTATGTTTAGGGGACACTTCACCCTAGAGGTACAAAGATGAGCATGGTGGTCCCTTCCCGAGAAGTCCAGTGGTGTTACCTTGCTGGAGGACTGGCGGGATGGTGTCCTGAATCTGTCTGAGCAGCCACAGAGGTCTTGGGCTTCAACCTGGTCTTGCAGGACTATAGTGGGGGGCTGGAGGAGCTGTTGCTGTAGGGGGCTGTCTCTCCGGCAGACCTAGAGGATGGGGGTTGGGAAGAGAGCCTTGTGTTTTGTGAAGACTTACCAGGAAAGAAAGGCGTGACACCTCCTTCAGACTCTGAGAATCAGGCCCCACCCACCCAGAGCAGAAACATGGGGCTCTCACCTCCTCAGGTCAGAAGTCTCAGGGGGAGAATGGGAACTGCTTTTCCAGCCTCACCCTAAATTTCCTCTCCCCGATTCTTCCCTCTCTTGTGAAAGGAAGCTCCAGACCACATTCTGGAAGATCTGAGCACCTTCCCTCTGGGAAATCTTCAGTGACTCCACCCCGGAGACCTGGAGCTCCCCAGTCACTACAGGAGCTGCCCACCTGAGACCTCTCCGTTGCCGGGGTAGTCTTCCTTCCCGGTGGTCCCTGCAGGACCCAGGCTACCCCTTTTCTGGAAGCCACTTCCCCAAATCCCCGGAATGCTCTCTGGCTCTGTGGACAGGTGCATCACCCTATTCTGGGCATGCTCTCGACTTCCTCATTGGTGTCAAAACTTCCTTTCCACTTCATGTTCTGTCCTTACTGTCCAGGAAAATCTTATGTCAGTAGGATAAATCATATAAACTGGGTTGTGTTCACACATGAGCTAGCTGTGAAGTCAGCGTCTGTCCCCAGAATTGACTGGAACTTCGGATACCTGAGACTCCGAGAGAAAGACCTATTCAGTCAGGCAGGGCCTTCTTCCTATTGCCTTGGGCACATCATTCAGGACTAGTTGTGGACAGGGTAGAGAATGGAGGTGGGTGGGTAGGGATGATGGGGGACCTGGAGGCAGGAAAACACATCAAGAGGCTGAGACTGCACGTCCAGGTGATGGTGGCCTGACCTCAAGTCTTGCCAGGGTGTGCAGTGCTAGGCTGATGAAGTGAAAACGTGCAGAATGGAAGAGGCCTGACTTGGTGCCCAGACATGTGGACAAGTGGGATGAGAGGTTGCCCAAGTTTCCTGCTTGGCCACATAGGTGAGCAGCAGTGCCTTTATCAAGAAAGGGCTCATCAGGAGGGACAGACTGTGGGTTTGAGGGGGAGAGAAAGGAGTCTAGTGTGGTTGAGGCTATCAAATTTGAGTTGCCTCTGGGACAGCCAAGTGGGGCTGGCCAGGAGGTGCTTGAATTGAGGCCACAGTGTGTGGTGTGGAGCACAGGAGCAAAGTTTGGCCTGGAAACAGGAAGTTTTAATATTTTAACCCAGACACGCGCACCAGAACTTCCAACTTGGTACACTCCCCAGGTCATTCAGCCCAGGGCCTGCTAATAGAAGAAGGCATGGTTTTACAATGTCTCCTTAATAGGTGGTGTGGAGCCATAAGGACAACAGTACTAGTGACCCAGAGATGTGGGAGTCCAGAGAGTCTTGCCTCTCTGCAAACTGCACAGCAGGCCTCTCCTCTTCTCCAACCCCCCATGAATGGTGTGGTCAGAAGGCACCGGCTGGAAGATGTGTTGGGGTAAGGGAGTGGTTTGGGTGGGACATGGGTGCCCGGCAGGGAGTGGGACTTTTTGTAAATCTGTTTGAACCCTCCCCTTTCAGAGCCTATTGAGCCCTTGTGTCTGCATCGTTACCCTCGCCAGTTCCCATCCCCTATACCACAGGAGGGCAGCACTGCACTCTCAGCTGCCCAGGATGTTCTCAGACTGATGCCAAGAGCAGATGGCTCCAGTTAGCACTTCCGTTGGCCTCAGAGGGCACGGGGTGGAGTGGGGGCCGGGGAGGGGTGCAGGGGATGGTGGCAGAGGTGACTTTTCTCCTAGGTTGGAAGAGCAACAATTGGTGTCTGAACTTCCTGGTTACAGAACACCTACCTGCATGCTAAGTCGCTTCCATCATGTCCGACATAGCCCACCAGGCTCCTCTGTCCATGGGATTCTCCAGGCAAGAACAGTGGAGTGGGTTGCTGTGCCCTCCTCCAGGGTCCACTGCTCTACTTCCTGTCTGCTAGCTCTCCTGATTGGCCTAGGCTAGCTTGGCACCTTCACCCAACAAGTAGACAGAATGAAAAGAAATTGAGGGGTGGGATGGAGAGAATAGAGGCAATGAGAGAAGTCCAGAAAAATACAACCTAAATGGGAAACCATTTGGCTTGGGAAGAAAAGTACAGGTCAGTCTTCTGACTGGATGTCTATGGAAATTTCCAGTTTTACCTACCACCTAGTAGCTGGGAACAAGTCACTTCATGTCTCTGTCAGTCTCAGTTCAGTTCAGTTCAGTTGCTCAGTCATTTCCGACTCTTTGTGACCCCATGGACTGCAGCACGCCAGGCTTTCATCAACTCTCAGAGCTTGCTCAAACTCATGTCCGTTGAGTCAGTGATACCATCCAACCATCTCATCCTCTGTCGTCCCCTTCTCCTGCCTTCAGTCTTTCCCAGCATCAGGGTCTTTTCCAATGAGTCAGTTCTTTGCATCACATGGCCAAATTATTGGAGCTTCAGCTTCAGCATCAGTCCTTCCAATGAATATTCAGGACTGATTTCCTTTAAGATGGACTGGTTGGATCTCCTTGAAGTCCAAGGGACCCTCAAGGGTCTTCTCCAACACCACAGTTCAAAAGCATCAACACTTCAGCATTCAGCTTTCTTTATGGTCCAACTCTCTCATCTATACATGACTACTGAAAAAAAACATAGCTTTGACTAAATGGACCTTTGTTGCTACAGTAATATCTCTGCTTTTTAATATGCTGTCTATGCTGGTCATAGCTTTTCTTCCAAGGAGCAAGCGTCTTTTAATTTCATGGCTGCAGTCACCATCTGCAGTGATTTTGGAGTCCAAGAAAATAAAGTCTGTCACTGTTTCCACTGTTTCCCCATCTATTTGCCATGAAGTGATGGTACTAGATGCCATGATTTTAGTTTTTTGAATGCTGAGTTTTAAGCCAGCTTTTAGAAAATTATCTAAAGGGGCTTTTCTAGACAATCTCGTTGGTTTCCTCCAGCCGTGCTGTGTACTGCTGACATACACACCTGCAGTCTGGTGGGCAGAGGGGAAGGCTGATACCCTAGAAAAAGGGCATCATGTGAAGTTTGGGAGAGGCATGGTTTTTTTCTTTGTTTGGCTTTGGTTTTTTGGAAGGGAAGATGGCCGTGCCACATGGCGTGTGGGACCCTAATTCCCCAACTGGGGATGGAACCCCGTTGCACTGGAAGCATCAAGTCTTAAACACAGGACAACAAGGGAAGTCCTGAGAGGTGTGTTTTTAAGAAAATAATTTATTTAGAAGGAAGCAAACATGCGGGAAACATCCCAGTTGATGAGAGAGGCTGAAAAAGACAAGTTTCTGAAAGACTTGAGTAAACTCATGGCTGACAGTTTACTGAAGGACTCAAGGACGATGGTGGGGTCTTTGCATCCCATGATGCCCTCATCTGGGTTAGAGGAATGGGGCCTCACCCACAGGGTGGCATTTTTCGCATTGACGGGCAGACTCTTTCCCACTGAGCCACCAGGGAAGCCCAGGGTGGCATTTTTATACCCTTGTGTTCTCATGTCCTTCAAACACCCTGGCTCATGTCCTCACTGCAGTATAGACATACCCACACCTTTTCCCACATCCTGAAACCACTGCCCAAAGACAGGCAAGGTGATCTGAAAATGAAGGCCAGCAGCTTCCATGGTGCAGAGAGGAGGATTCCTCCCAGCCCCTCCTCCCTCTTGCTACTTCCGGTCCCCAACTGCAGTCTGGGCTCAACTCCTGATGAGCCAGCCCTTGGCCTCTTGCTCTGCCTGTGCTTTATGATGTTCATAATAACCCTGTGGAAATGATAAGGCTGGCCTTTTTCAATCCTGTCTCTGCACTGCAACTTTCCCTAATAGTGTTTTTCTCCTGCTACTCTTCTGTTCAGAATGCCTCCAACTACCTGCTCTCTTGAGTCCCAATTCATGGCCTGACATTCAAAGAGAATTTACCATTAATTCAGCACTTACAGTGTGCCCGGCATTAAATCTAAGCATCATGTTCCCTTATTGTGGTAGCAAGTCTAGGATAGGACTTGCTAGGACCTCTGCTATTTGTCAAATGGGGATGAGTAAGTGGTCAGGACAACCCTGAAAAGCAGGTATTATTATTCCCCATGATACTAATTATGAGAGTGGGGCTTAGGGGAGTGAGTAACTTGCCCAAGGTCATGATTAATAAGAGGACATGTCAGGATTCAAACCCAGGTCCTGATTCTAAATCCTGGGGATGTTTATATAGATGGCTCTTCAAGTCTCCCCCACCCTCAGCGTCCCTCACCCAGGAAGGTTCTGGCCCAGTGGACACAAACTTGTGATATTTTTGGTTCCAGTTATTCCTGTGGAGATGACTGCAGCCTTCCAGACAGAGGGCACATAGGATAGATACCCCACCTACAGGCAGTTGTTTAGTGGCTCAGTCGTGTCTGACTCTCTGCAACCCTATGGACTATAGCCCACCAGGCTTCTCTGTCCATGGGATTCTCCAGGCAAGAATACTGGAGTGGGCTGTCTTTTCCTTCTCCACAGGATCTTCCCGACCCAGGGATAGAACCCACGTCTCCTGCATTGGCAGGTGGGTTTTTTTTAACCTCTGAGCCACCTGGGAAGCCTGCACCTATAGGCACTACCTGCCACAACTGGCTCATCATGTCCTGAGGATTGGCCATACAATAAGGCGGCTGCCCCTGGAAACGTCCACAGCCTTCCCAGGAGAGGCACACCCCTGTCTGGGGAGGAGGCACATCCCGGAAATGCTGTGTAGCAGGATTTCCTTGTAGGGAGCTGCCATGTGGCCAAGGCTGTTATCACGGAGAAGAGCTCCACCTGCCACTGCCATGGAGCCACCTTCAGGTGCCCCCTCTGCTCCTACAGACCCTACTGACCTCTGGTGGGCAGAGTGTAAAGGTACTGCGCTGGCTGGGCAGCCTTAGAGGGCTTGACTCGCAGCCAGGCTGTGCTCTCACATCTTCTGGTGTGGGGGAAGCCAGCTACCCCTACCAGGTTGATTCATCTATGCCATACTGTGGGTAGGTCTCAACCTCACTATGCCTCAGTTTCTTCATCTGTGAAACAGGGATAAACAAAGTCCCCTCCACTGTACCCAAAAACCTGAGACAAAGCTTTAACTGGGGGGGGGGGGAAGATGGATGGGTTAATTCAAGATGCCAAGGCCCCAGGGGGGCACTTGTGAAATTCTTGGTACTTGACCAGAAAGATTAGATATGATTTATTAATAACAATGTGAAGCCACCTTTTTCATGTTGCAGCACACAGAGAACTTTTGTCTAGCACCCTGGGATGAAAAGGAAGAGCCATCTCAGGCTCTACCCAGCGCCACCCCCCCGCCCAAAGGCTGACAGCACCAACATCTCAGCATTGCTGGAATCCTTTTGCAGCACCTGGGTGGCAAGCTCCATCTGCTGTATACAAAAGTTGTCGCAAAAGCAGTGGTGATCCTTGTCAGGATTTGAATTCCCTTCTTTCTACATGAAGACAGTCAGCCAAGGGTTTGGTGGGTGGCCCTGCAGTGACCATAGGTGCAGGTGGGAATGGCCTAAGCTGAGCAGCAGGAAAGGGTCGCCTGCCTTGGCCCCCAGGCAGAGCTCTGCAGACTTGGCTTTACTTGGGCTCCTTTTCTGAGGCAGAGAGGCAACAAGATCACAGCCACCCCACAGGCCTCTGGGCCAATGCAGATTGCATCTGGGACTAATGTGCGTGGAGCAAAGACCAAAGACATGGTATCTGCTCAGAGCAGAATCGTGGGATCAGAGCATCTGCTGTCTGCCGCCCCACAAGCTGCTTCTCTTCCCTCCTTCTGCTACACTCAGGCCTTGTTGACTCATTCATCCCGGAAGTCCTTAATGAGGGGCAGCCGACTGCCAAATACCATGTCAAGTACTGGGACCACAGGCTGGGACTGTTGGCTTCCAGCAACTCAGCCAGGTAGAAAGAAAGACATGAAAAGAGGGGCACTGAATAGGGAATGTCCATAAAGAGGAGGTGAAGGTGCAGGAGGGCCTAAGACAGCCTCAGGGAGTCAGGAAAGTTTGCAAGGACACTCGAAGAATAAATGGGAATGGGGGAGGGAAGAGTAACTGGGGAGTAATGAGGCAGTTTTCCGGAGAGAAGGACATGTACAAAGGAAGCTTTGAGATGGGGAGAGTGAGGCATGTTCAAAGCACATCAAGGAGTCCAGTTGTGAGAATATAAAGTGCTAGATGGGAGTGGGAGTAGGGTGATGAAGCCAGGCTGGCAGCAGCCAGATCAGAGAGATGCCAGTGAAAGGAGTTTTTTAAACTTATTTTTATTATTCTTATTTTATTTTTTAATATTTTGGCCACACCATGCAGCACGTGGTATCTCAGTTTCCTGACCAGGGGTTGAACCCACGCCCCCTGTGTTGGGATTGTGTAGTCTTAACCGCTGGCCCACCACGGAAGTCCCTGAAAGGAGTTTTTACTTCATTCTGAAGGCAATGGCGGGGGTGGGGGGCGGTGGTCACTGGAGCATTCTGAATAGGGGAGCACTGTGATCCAAGGCACTATTAAGCAACATGGTTCTGGCAGCAGAGAGAGGGGCAGGCTGTGAAGGGCCTGCTGAGGAGGTCGCTGCAGTTGTCTGGATTCTGTGGGTTCAAAGCCTGAATGAGGATGTTGTCAGGGACGGTATAAAGGAGGGATTCAAGAGCCCCGAAATAAACAGAATCAACAGAATGCGGTGAGTGTACAAAAGTAGGTGATAAGGGAGAGATCCTGACAAAGGGCTTCCCAGGTGGCGCCAATGCAGGAGACATAAGAGACTCGGGTTTGATCCTTGGGTGGGGAAGACCCCCTGGAGGAGGACATGGCAACCCACTTCAGTATTCTTGCCTGGAGAATCCCATGGACAGAGGAGGCTGGCGGGCTACAGTCCATGGGGTCACACAGAGTCAGACACAACCAAAGCAACTTAGCATGCATGCACATGTATGTAAGGGGAGCTGAAGCCATGCTCATGAATGAGATGAGGAATAGAATTATGAATAAGAAGAGAAGAGGGCTAAGGATGGAACTCTGGAGCTAGTGCACAGGCACTTAAAACATGAAAAGGAAATGAGAGCGAGCCAAGTGTCCTAGCAAGACAAGGAGGAGAGAATGGCTGTCAGAGCCAGATGTACCAGAAAAGAGAGCAGGGACACAAGGAGATACATTTCAGCAGAGTAATGGAGGCAGGAGCCACACTGCAGAGGGCTGATTCCAGCAGCTGAGACTGAAGGGCAAGAAACGACTGAAGCTGCAAGGGAGCTCTGTGTCAAAGGAGGGTTTGTTGAAGGTATTTATTCAAATCTCCATGTTGAGGGGAAGAGATGGAGAGAGAGGGAGAGCTTAAAGCTAGGAGCTGAGACCAGGGGCTGGGCCTTTACACCCCCTCATCAGTCATTCACTGGATACAGGCTGCCCCAGGAAGTTGGCTGGCCTTTGAAAGCAGCTCTCTTCCGTGGAGGCAGTCCCCAGAGGGGTCTGACAGCTGAGAGCTGTGGGCTTAGGCACTGAGTCCTTCTGTCATGAAGAGGGTCCAGGGAAGTACATACAATGCCTGCCACAGAGAGAGAGGGGGAGCCATTGCACTTGAGTTGAATCTGTGGGCCAGTCAGGCTGAGGCTGAAGTTTACACTGTTGGCCTGAATTTTGCTTCATGAAAATGGAAACAGGTCGTTCTGCTGAAAGGGGGTGCTGGCGGGGGTTGTGGGCTGGAGGCAAGTGGAATGAATGGTGGTGGGATGGCTGCTTCGGGACCCGGAAGAGGAGCTGCCCAGGGACATGGGGCTGGATCACCAGGTGGCATTGGGGTCTATGAAACTAGAGAAGGAATCATTTTGGCAGGCTCAAATAGCATTCAGGTTTCAAGGTCTCTCATCCTCAGCTATATGGCTCTGTCCTCCCTTGGATTTAGTTAGTTTGTACCAGGAAATGTCTATGTGTCATTTCAGAAGAATATTATGTTGCACTATGTTCCTAAATTCAGAAACTTTTTACCTCAACTATTTTCTAAACAAGGGCTTCCCTAGTAGCTCAGCTGGTAAAGAATCCACCTGCAATGCAGGAGACCCCAGTTCCATTCCTGGGTTGGGGAGATCTGCTGGAAAAGGGATAGGCTACCAACTCCAGTATTCTTGGGCTTCCCTGGTGGCTCAGCTGGTAAAGAGTCCGCCTAAACAAGACCTAAATTCACGAATGCTGGTATCTAACTCATTTTTGTTATGATAATAGTTAATTATGCTAATGGAAACAATCTGGCTAACTGGAAATAAAACAATGTGGCTATTAAACATTGCAAACCAATCAGAAAACTCTTTCAGAGTTGACAATAAAGAAAATATACATGTCTATGAGCAGATGAATGAAAATTACAGGAGTCAGGATTAAATCTAATTAGTAGGCAAATCCAAAATGTAGGAAAATTCAAAATCCAAAATTAGTATGCAAATCCAAAATGTAGGAAAATTCAATTGAATTCAAAATTCAAATGTAGGAAAATTCAAAGGAAAATTAATTAGGAAGTCACAAAAGCAAAGCCACTGCTGTGATGATGAAATCAGAACAGGTAGCTTGTCAGGTACTAGAGTGACAAAAAACAAGTACACGGCTCAATTAAATGGGCTTTTAAAATCCATACAG